AATGGGGAACCGGAGGAGGGCTTTTCACATCTGTGATAGGGAATATAAGGAAGACCAATTGCTAAGATCTGAGTCCACCTCACTGCTAACGTGTGTGCTCCTGTTTTTGCAAAAACGTTAATAAATACTTTGCTGCTTCTGAAGACCTGAGTTTGGTTTTATTGATAACATTGTTATTATTTGTTTTTGAAAAATTAGAAGTAAAAAGAATATCAGTTAAAGGATAGAACATCTAAAAGGATAGAACATCTAAAAAGGTAGGGAATAAGATAGAAATAATAAAGTATGGTGGATAGGTACGATATACAAACAAACAAGGGATCTAAGGTTTAAAGACTAGTATGTTTCAGGATATCATGAATGACTTATGATATTGTGGAATATTTCATATCCTTTCTCTTGCAAGGATCTGCACCACCCCTTCCAAATCCAAGATGAACCCAAGAACTTGGAACATCTACAGATCTTGCAGTAGAACCAGATTTGCACAAGGAGATAAGCTCTAATTCGTGTAATCGTGGTTTATATACTACAATTGGCCACGTTCTTACAATGTACTGATAAACCTTGGTTTTAAGCATTCAGTGTTATATACAGTACTCAGGATCAAGCTTAGCAGGTTGGGTGACCTCACCCTGAGAATCGACCAGAAAAAGGCTGGGTTCACATGACAAAGCTAAGCCCAAATGTGATTTGCTAGCATCCCAATTGGCATATTGTCAGAACCCAGCCAATAATGGTTTATTCAGCAAATTCTGGTTAAGGAAACTTAGGGCACAGTAGGTGCATATGGATAATGAGAATCTGAAGGGGATCTGGGAGAATCGATAAAGTTTTGCATTGAAGGCAGAGAAATTCCTTCATTTGATGTGGGAAACTGGGCACAGGAAACTTTGGTGAATAACAGGTTACAGTCAGTGACTTTGCTGAGACCCAGATAGAAACTCCTCACTTCAGCCACCGTTGTGACATTTTGAGCCTTCAGAAAAGGAAACCTCTGAAGATTCGGAACTGAGAAATGTTTAATCCCTCTGAATGAGGAATATCTAACATATAGAAAAAATACTATTTTCTTCTGGTAAAATAGTACTGCCAAATAATTCTGCCCCAATGTCCTTCTCAAAGGCAGTATCTTTCAGCTATGGTACTATATTGAAGATATTAAGAAGCCGTGTTTATCCATGAGGAGCCACTGATCTTAGGTGACAAATGATGGTGGCTGCTGGGCCTGGTGTAAAGACCAAAATGGAGATCCTGAAGGAAAGAAAAATGAAGAATATTGAAGGAAAATAGGTTCCCAAATGTAAAAATATTAAGTTCTAGAAAATGAAGAATGGTAGGAAAATGAGGGGTAGATTAATTCTTTGTGAGTTAAGTAGATCCTTTGAAAAAGAGCAAAGAGGGAAAGAAAGAGGGTGACTAAGTATTTGGGCATGAATATAAAGCTATTTTAATAATATTTGGAGAAATGTGTCTTTTATGATGGGTTTACCAGGATACAATTAAAATGAATGTCATGAAATAAAGAGAAAACTGCAAACTTTCTGAAAAAACGGTATCTTGAAATCAAAGGACAAGAACAGGCTGAAGGAAAAAGGAGATGCAAGAGAAAGAAAAAATGGATCAAACTCTGGTACCAGTGGTGCCAAGAACTCAGGAGGAAGAGGAACTATAGAAAAAGCAACAACATCAAAAAGCAACAAAATCAAAACCTAACTGAAACTATAGAAAACCTCTTCCTTTGTTTTTTTAGCAGGGAGTAGCAAGGACCAAGAATGTAATTTATGTAATTCATCTACAGTTTGAGAAGGACCCACTCAGTTTGAGTAAAAGGAAGTTGCTTCATCATCCTGCCATCCAGGTAACCTTTTGTGAAGTTGCTAATCAGAACATCTTAGGTCAGTGTTGTCCAAACTTGGCCACTTTAAGATGAGTGGACTTCAACTCCCAGAATTCCCCAGCCAGCCTCAACTCTGGGAGTTGAAGTCCACTCATCTTAAAGTGGCCAAGTTTGGACAACACTGTCTTAGGTGAAAGCATAGACTGGATCTTTAGAAGGAAGCAGCCTAAGGCGAGGCACCCTACTGAGCTGGGGCTTCCTGTGTTTTCCTTATCTAGTATTGTCTCATTGGAATGTAGATCTCTTTTTGTAATTTGATTAAGGCTTCAAGGAATGTTGGCCCTTCCTGTCTTTAGTTACTTAATCCTGGGGGATCTTTGTGCTGGGGCAAAGGACTCTTGACTCTTCCTCCACATTTTAATCCTTTCAGGTGAGCCCATTCTAATTGTAAATGTGATCATATACCTTGATTGCTGTAAACAATGTCAGGGTGACAAATGGGAAGCTTTGACTTCCTGCTGACCTGGGGGGAAGAATCTGATTTCCTTCTCGCAATCCTTTTCTAAATGCAGTGAGCAAAAGTGTTCACCGTATTCCAGATGCAAATAGTCCACAGGTTTATGGAAGGGGAGCAGTTTGATTCCCTTCCTAATGATCCCCAACATGGAATTTCCCATTTTCTTAGCTGCCACACACCCGATCCACCTCGTCACTGTGGTCTCTATTACAACCCCAAGATCTTTCTCCTGGTAAGTCAGACAGCTCAGGTCCCATCAGTGCACATAGCAAGACAACATTTTTTCACCTGTGGAAGGACAGACTGCCTGGGCAGATTATAAACCCTCCCCTTCCTTCTCTCCCCTCCCTACTGGGCCCTCCCCCAGTGACTGGAAGACACAGCTGTCAATCAAATGGCAGCTGCCAATCAAACAGCAGCATTGTGCATGCAGGAGGGCAGACCAGATAGTGTCTGGGAGTTCTGCAGCCACAAGTCTCCTGGCGAATAAATGGAATAAACAGAGCGCAAAGACCAGGAGTCAAAATAAAGAGTAAAACTAAGTTCTGCTGAAGCAGAGGCAACGGGGAGGCTACTGAGAAAACTGGGGTGTCCGAGGCGTTTTCAGTCTTCCCTCAGAATGGTGTGAGGCAAAAGTTTCCCTCAGATGTAGCCAAGTCATGTGAGAAGAAACCAGAAGGCCAGCGAGGAACAAGCAAGCAGAAAAGGTGAAGAAAAAGCCAAGACTTGGACCAAACAGAAATAGAAAACAGAAACCAAAAAAAGATGAAAGACAGATCGAACTCTATAGAAAGGGATATAGAGTTCTAGAGTTGAGTGACTGTAGGGATAGATAGGGGTTAGGCAAAAGAAATATATTAAAAATATAGAACAGAAAATAGGAAGATGCAGTGAAATTGGAGTTTAAAAAATATAGTGTAGGTAAAGAGCCTATAGAATATAGTTACAATGCAATATAGTTTTAGCAGTAAGGTATTAGTTTCTGAAATGGTTGAAGGCGTTTATAATTTACTATTTTTTTTGCAAGCTTGCCTTGTTTTGTAAAACAAAAGCCACCCCTGCCATTGAAAAGAGATACAAAAAAACCAATCAACTGTCCACGTTTCCAGGGCTTTGTGTTTTTTATTGAGTCTGAATCAACCAGATTATCTGTGGTTCAAAGAACCCATGACATTGCTTCAAGGCGCATCACTTTCCACCTCCTTAACTCGCTCAGCGGAAAGAGCTCCTTCTGGAGTTCCTCTCAAACGCTGGACCAACTCAGTTTCCTGCTAAGTCAAAATAATTTAGAAAGGAATTAGCAGCCACTGCCTTTTCTTCCAGTGGCTTCTGAGTGTTAAAAGGCTGATAGAAATAGCATCTCTTGCATATGAGAGGTGATAATAGTATATTAAAAAAGGAGGAAGTCCAGAGATTTAAGTTGTCCCCAACTTAAACTTTAGGAAGGGAAAATAAGGGAAAAACTCCCTTCCTTCTTTCAAAGAGAGGGAAGAGGAAGCGAAGGAGGAAGAGAATGAGGAGAGAGAAGGAAAAGGAGAAATTAAACTGGAGACGTGGGGAAGATGAACGGGAAAGGGGAAAAAATGGTGTGCTGGTTAGGCCTTAGAAGACAAGGAGAACAGCAGGAATCAGCCAGACTCACTGGAGGAGACAGTTAACTAAACAGTTGCCCAACATTCAAAGTCATTCACAGATACTTCTGCACTCATTTTCATCCCCTGCCCAACCCTTCAAAGTGCTCTACATGGACTTCTCCTCTCAACTTGTAAGGGAATACCCTCCTCCCAATTCCTAAGTGATTCTTAAAGGGAGAAACCCCTCCCCTTCCTGTTTATAATTCAAGTCCATGATTATTAGCACCCCTGTTGTATCCCACTGCATATATAAACATCAGTATCGTGCAGTTAGTGAGGTGCCTCGGGGCAGGTAGCTTCTGCACAGTGGAAAACATGCATTTAGAAATAAATGATGAGTTAGGAATGTTATGTCTGGAGAAAGAACTCCACAGACGAGTGCTTGTGAGAAAAAACAAAAAGATGGTCCTTATCTGGGAAGTTACATCATGATAGAAAATCTGAGGTTGTCCAGTTGGTCTGTGCCTTGGAACCAGGGTGGAGTTTTCTCCGTTACTGGAGAAGAGCAAGGAAGAAAAACAAATGCAAGAGAACTGGGAGTGTTGACGACCCTCGAAATCTGTTTAATAAATAGGAAGTCAAATATGTAGATAAATGCAAATTAAGTGCTCTTACTGGAGACAGTGCAAATGATCCAGAAGGAAGGAATGAAAGAGAAAGAATTGGGAATTGGAAGTGAAGTCAGAAATAAGAAAATCAGGAGGCCTGGTATGTAGAGATATGCAAATTAAGTATTCCTATGCAAAGAAAAATTGAAGTGCCAAGTCCTTCTACTAACTGTCCCTACATCTACTGCCTCTAGTGATCAACAGGTTTATAGGTACAAAGAGCTGATGACAGCCGTCCACCTATTTTATTCCTTGTTTTCCTTCCTTCAGCATTGCCAGACAGGGTGGTTCATTTTAGTCCATTATCCACTTCCATGACATTTCTGCATGAGGATCACAACCTCAGAACTGGAGTCTCTGAAGTTCTTTCCACACTCCATGCATTTATACGGTTTCTCTCCTGTGTGGATCCTTTTGTGGGAAGTAAAAGAACTGCTCTTACTAAAGCTCTTTCCACATTCCATACATTTATATGGTTTCTCCCCCGTGTGAATCCTTTTATGAGAAGTAAGTGAACTGCTTACACTGAAGCTCTTTCCACATTCCATACATTTATATGGTTTCTCCCCTGTGTGAATCCTTTTATGGGAGGTAAGGGAACTGCTTACACTGAAGCTCTTTCCACACTCCATACATTTATACGGTTTCTCTCCAGTGTGAATCCTTTTATGGGAAGTAAGGTGACTTGCATCACTGAAGCTCTTTCCACACTCCAGGCACTGATATGGTTTCTCCCCTGTGTGGATCCTCTTATGTGAAGTAAGGTGGCTTTTCTGACAGAAGCACTTTCCACACTCCACACACTGATATGGTTTCTCTCCTCTGTGGATTCTTCTATGGGAAGTAAGGTAACTGTTCTGACTGAAGCTCTTTCCACACTCCATACACTGATATGGTTTCTCTCCTCTATGGATTCTTTTATGAGTAGTAAGGTGACTTTTCTGATTGAAGCTCTTTCCACATTCCACACATTTATATGGTTTCTCCCCTGCATGAATCCTTTGATGCTCATTAAGGTGGCTGCTCTTGCTGAAGCTTTCTCCACACTCCATGCATTTATATGGTTTTCCCCCAATAGGTATGCATTGATTTAAAGTAAGAGGAAAAGTCCAATATGAGTGTTCCCTATATTCATATTGTGCTTCAACACTGTGTCTTCTGCAATATTCACATAATCCTGATTCATCTCTCAATATTTTTCCACACCCTAGACACGTTCCTTTTTCTTGGTGATCTTCTTGGGTCAGGAACATATTGATATCTGCACACTGAAAAGTAGATTTCTCCAGCTCTCTGTTTAACTGATTTTCCTCAGGCCTTTGTGTTCCCCACTGATTTCTGAACTTCCCTTCTCTAATTTCATTTTTGACTGTTGGCGAATGTTTTGCCACCTCCTTGTTAGAATCCTCATTCTTCCACCTATCACCTGATTGGAACAAAAAGGAAAAAGAAAGACGTAAGTTGATGAGATGTTCAAGACACAAGCTGAGGCACCATCAGGGGTCAAGCCCTATTGCTACACCTTTTATTTGAACATTCCCAAGAGTTTCTCCCGTTCCTCCTGGACCACATGGTCAGATTAGACCTGGGGCATTTTTTTTTACTATCAATCTGGTGCTCCCTGTCAGGCCCAGTCCAGAATATAGGACTTGGAACTAATATTTTGACAATGGGACATTTGCCATATTATACCATGTAGAGATCTACCTTGTTTCCCATGATGTTCAGTGACCACATAAAACTATTGGGGAAGATCATTTAGCACTTTGGAGTAGGCTGTCACCAAATCTCTTGCTCCTGATCATCCAATCCCAGTGAGGCTACAGGTTCCCTTGAACATTACTGACTATTTTTAGCAATGGGCTATACAAGTGAGAACAAGATGAAATCGGATCAAGAGAAGATGTTCTCCTAGTATATAGGAAACTGAAATTGGGTTTCAACCTGTTTTTAAGGAGGTTGATAAGTCTGCAGTTTGGGAGTAAACAGCAAAGAGGCCCTGGGGCAATGGGAAGGAGAGATGCCTGAGCGGGTGCTCACATCTCCTGAGAACCCATTCCTGTAATAAATGGTATGGGCCAATTAGGGTTTCCAAATTCCATCCTTACAGGCAGAAAAACAGAAAAACAGAAGGCACTCCTAAGGGTGACCAGCAAAAGCAGGAAGGAATAGGGAGGGTGCTCACTCCTCTCTATAGAGACAGCATGAAGATTTTTAGCTCTGCCTATTTGATCCAGTGGGAGGAACAATGCAGTTAAGGGCATTCTCCTTCACTGTAGGAAAGAAACAGACCAGCAGTTCCTCTCAGAAACAGATAAGCTGGTCATGTCTGACTAGAAAAGAAGAACCCTTACCCAAGAAGGCCACATTCCTTGCATTTTCCAACATGACCTCCCTGTACAGGGATTTTTGGTCAAGATCCAGCAGAGCCCACTCCTCTTCAGAGAAAAACACAGCTACATCTTCAAATGACATATGATTCTGAAATTTTAAAAAAAACATTCCTGCTTAATGTACAGTTCCAAGATGTACCTCTTGCAAGTTCTCTATCTTAATGAAGAACTTTAGTGATCCTGCAGGATCTCAAAGCTCATTTGGTGGTAGCAACCCTTATATCCTTCTGGATCAACAGATGGGACAGGCACTGAATCCCCATTCCTTTCTGGAAGATGGTTTCCTCAATAAAGTCTTTGGAGAATCTTGTTTAATATTTTAACCGGTGGAAGTAGGTGCCAATTCTCTTTTCTAATGAGCAAATCCCAGCAAGCATCTAGAGTAAGTAACCATTTTACCCAGAGAAATTTTCTGAAAGAAAATGGGCAGAGCTGAAAGTTTCAGACTCAAAATGCTATTGAATAAATATTTTATTAATTTTACTGATTCTGCAGAACTTTAAAACCTATTTGGTTGGTAGTAACAGTAGTTCCTGGAACAATTGATGGGACGAGTCTTCGATGCACCATTGATCAGGGTCTCTCAGTGGCTACCTCAACATAGTGTTGGGGGAGACCTACTTGATACGTTAACTGGTGGCTTATGTTGTCCCTCAGGGATCCACACAGTTCAACAGCTATATGAGGCTGCTGGAAGAGGTCCTCTAGAAGCATGAGATACCACCAATGTTCAAATGACACCAGGAAGCTGCTCCTGTTCTGAAAAACCAGCTAGAAGGGAGCAAATTAAGTGAACTGGCTTTGAAAAAGGGATTCAGCCTGCTTTGGGCCAAATGGAATGCTCCTTGTAGAAAACACATTTGCACAGTGAAGGAGAAAGGAATCCTTCTCCTACCTGAGTTGGAATGACAACTGCAGTTTCAGCTCCACCACAAAGTAAAGGCATTTCTGCAGGAAACCTCAGTGTTGCTCCATGCTCTGACAAGACAAAAATGGAGGAGGCACATTTTGAAAACATTCCTACTGCGTTCTAGAGCAAAACTATGCAAAAAAAAATAAGGCCATTTCTGCACACAAGTGAGAGTGGAAGTAAGGCTGTGTACACTGAGGTGGGGATGAGCAGATTGTTTTATGTCCCTCTCCCCAAGTGGTCCAGCTCAGGGTAAAAAAGGGCCTAGGGAGTCAGGCTTGCAGGCAGCTCTATTGGCCACGAGAGACAAAGGCAGGCAGTCACTGAAAGGCCCAGTGAAGGTATGAGGAACGGAGGTTCCTTAAGTCTGGACTCTGCATGGGCATGGTCTACTGAGGTAAAAAAAAAGGGACTTTCAGACTGCATCTGGGTCTCATTTCATTCTGGGGACTTAAGGGAACTGGGTAGGTATTGAACAGTATGATTTCCACGAGATGGGACCTATATTCTTGCCCTACATGATTCATTTGGGAGTTGGGTGGGAGTTGATCAGTTGGATCAGGGTGGTCAATGCCTCACTGGGAGGGATGATGCCACGTGCTTTGAAAGACAGTGGTGTGCCCCTCTGGAAGAGGCCTTTCTGAGGTCCAGCCATGTTAGGCAACTAATGTCCAGTTTCCAATCCTCCCTTGCTAGGTTACTGCATTATGAGTCACCCTGTAGGGGAGATGGGCGGCATACACATTGAATGAATGAATGAATGAATGAATGAATGAATGAATGAATGAATGAATGAATGAATCACTCCGATGGATGACGTGCATCAAGACTCTGATGAGGGCTATGAGCTCCTTCTGCTTCTTTTACACTTCTTAGCAGTATATACTCAGCAGAGTCACGTCCATGTAACATGTGGCTATATAAATTTGATAAATAAACCAGTTTTAAACAGGGTTTTTTTGCATTTTAATGGCTTTGTTTTAATTATGTTGTTTAGTTTTGTGTTAAGTGCGCCGCCCAGAGGCACAAGCATGAGAGAGATGGGTATATAATTTCAATAAATAAATACATAAAGTTGGTATCATCAATCACGGCATCACTTTGGGTGCTTGCAAAGGTTGGGGGCTGGGGGCACTGTGTTGCAGCACTTCTCCTTCTTCTGGGTGGCTGGTTCCAGTCATTGGGCAGGGCAAAGAGAGACTGACAGGTTGATTGCTCTAGTCTATGATGTTGCTGGATCCTTCTCTCTGCCTGCCTACTGTTAAGCATTTACCTGAAGTTACAGAAAGAGGTCATTGGTCACTTCAGGGTGAGGTATCACCAGTATGCTGATGATAGTCAGATAAGCAACTTTACCCTAATCTACATGGGGCTGCATTTGAAGACTTCTCAGAAGCTGTAACCAGTCCTGAACATAGCAGCCCTCTTGCCAAGGACTGCGAACCAGTAATCACGTATAACAATAGTGCTGCGGGCTCCAAACTGGTTACCAGGAGGCTTCTAGGCACAATGCAAAGGGCTACAAAGGCCCATGTAGCTTGGAACTGATGTTTCAGCTGATCCTGCCCTGTCTGGATAGGGCTCCAGATAGGTAAGCTGAGGGAGCTGAATTTCTATGGAGACTTGGGGGAGAGCAAAGAATCTGTGCCTATCTGTAGTGGCACCTCCCCTTTGGAGCTGCCTTACACTGGAAATCCAGATGGCCACTGTCAGTCCTGATCCTCAGGAAAGCCATGAAGACCCAGCAGTTCAAAAGGGCCTTTGTTGGTTAAATGTCTGTTCATCAGGACATTTAAACACTGGAGCAAGCTTCCAAGTTGAACCAATGCATTTAATGAAAGTATTATGTTTTGTAATATGTTTCATTTCAACTGCACCCTGCTACGATTCCTTATGGAATACAACAGTATAAAAATATAATAAATGAACAACCATCCTTTACTTGCTGATGTAATCTGAGCTGGGTCCTCCTGGGAGATTCCCCCGAAGACCAGCTCCTGTGAGAGATAGGACACATCTCCACATGCTCTGGGATCTTGAGTGGCGACCTCCATGAAGGGATCCTGAACCTGAAAGAGCAGCCAGGAGAAAAATGGGAAAGAGAACTTTACGGTCCACTGCACCCAAGTTCATGGTCCCCTCTAAAAAGAAAGGCCTTTTCATACATCCTGGGAAATTATTGGAAAGGGCCAACAGAATAATCTGAATTATGAGGAATTTGTAGTAATTATAAGAATAATCTTACTGATACGCAGAAGTTATTGCATTTAGAAATTCAGGAACATTGCTTTTCATGCTGTCACCTTTTTGAATAAATACAGTGATATTGTCTCACCTGCATTTCTGCCAGCTTCTTCTCCTCCGTCTGGCTCAGGAGGAAGCCTTCAGCCAGGGCCACTGCCTGGGAGCTGGTCTCCACTCCACACTCCCGCACCCAGCTCTCCATCTCTGGGGGCAGGATGGCCAGGAACTGCTCCAGGACCACCAAGTCCAGCATCTGAGCTTTTGTGTGCTTCTCTGGCTTCAGCCACTGACGATAAAGGCGGTGGAGGCGACTACAAAGCTCTCGAGGTGCCTCGGCTTCCTTGTAGCACAACTCCTGGAAAGGGTGATGTTCTCCAGCCCAACTGGTGGTTTCTTCTTCCAGGATGTTCTTCCTTGTTCTTTCCCAGAATTTCTCACTAGCCCCAACCAGGACAACATGGGGCCCTTTTCCTTCTGGGCCTTGTAAGCCTTCTTTTTTGACGTACTGAAATGCTGTTCCAAACCAATCCAAAGTCTGTCCTGGATTTGCAAAGGAACTTTTATTCATAGGAGCAGAATGGCAAGAAGGGCCCCCCTGAGCCATCTTGGGGGATGAGGGACTTTTATCCTCAGACAACGAGAATCTTTGCAGACAACAGAAAATGCTTTCAGCTTCCAAGCTAATGGGAAAGAAAAAAGAGACAACTCAGAAAGAGAGAGCCACATTCCTAGACACTGATGGGATGTTCTTGTCTAGAAACATTTGGGGGAAGACAGGTGGGATGCTGCTCTCCCCCCCTGCACACACACCACTTTTGAAAAAGGGAGTATTTCTTATGACAAGTCAAGTCACTGTTCTGAAGGGCCTTTCTCTGTTTCAGCATCCTGATAACTTTGCACAGAGCAGAAATTTCCCAGATCTTCCAAGCTGGAGAGGCCTCCGATGCTGGGCACTCAGCTCAGGTCCTCTGGGGCAGAGTTTGCACATGTTTGGGGCCAGGCCTGGCCTGTCCTCCAGCGTACCCAGGAGACAGGCACCCTGCCCACCCCCTAAAACGGATGCTTTGATAGGAAAAGCCATGGCCGGATCCTTTGGGGGCCTTTCTGCCTCCGGGACAGACTCCCCACCAGCGAGCCAGGGCCCCTCCCCAGACTGGGAAAGGGCCACGGGGGGAGCCGTCCCAGGCTGGCTCAGGCAGGGGCTGAATGCTTCCTTCCAGGGAGCCGAGCGAGGGAGGGCTTTGCAAACCTCCCGGGCGTCTGCAGACGGGGACCGCCTGGGAATTGCCAGAAAAAAGCAAGCGGAGCTGAGCCAGGCGGGGCTCTGCCTGGCTCTCCTCGCCCCCCTCCCCGCTTGGCCACCCGGGTT